GTTTAAATTGAACTGGAAGAGAATATTAACATTCAAATTGCAACTCACGTATTTTGTGTAACAAATCCAGGGGCGGATCCAGGAATTTTCGCTGGGGGGGGGGGGTTCATCAGCAAAAACATCTGAAAATGTACACAGGGTTTTTTTCTCCAGACACTTGGCCTCCGTAAAATGAAAAACTGGGGGAGGGGGGGGGGGGGCTGGGGGGGCGGGGGGGGGGGGGCTGGTACCATATTTCAATAGGGGGCGCTGTTCAAATTCGACGATTATTAGCACTAGATTACAGAATGGTGTACCGTATTTTGAACAGGCAGACATTACACCAGTATACATTTTTTTGAGGTGTCACAGCGGGGGGGGGGGGGGGGGGTGAATTATTTTTTTTAGGAACTCGTATGAAAAACACATTTTTTTGACAGAGCAGGGGGGGTGAACCCCCCCCCCCTTCTGGATCCGTGCCTGAAATCACCCGAAAGAAGGATTATTATTCAGACTAGAATATAGTTAAATATTTCACATTTGTATTGTATTGTCACAGTATCGTTATGGTACTCTAAATGTTCATATACTAGCATACATTTCAAAAGTATGCTGAAGCACCCTTTGCCGTTTCTGAGTCGCGTACACAATACTTTGCTTTGCTACTTGCAGGTTTCATAAGAAGGTGTGGAGATGTTTGTTTTTGAGACTTGTTTGTCTTATCCAGACTTGTCTCCAAATGTGAACCTGTAACGTTAACCTTACCACACTTATTCCATTTGCTTATGATAACATTATCTGATCCGCCATGTAACCCCTGTGAAGATACCGCAGGTTTGCAATTCATAGCATTCATTCATTAAATCCTTCCGTTTGTTTTCATTAATACAGAACCGAAATTCCTGCTTCTCTGTTACTCCTAAAAATAACAGTTTAAAAAAATGGAATCCGGAACACAAATTTCAATTGGTAACCGACATTCCCTCTCCTTTATTACTCTTAAAAATACAGGTTTGAACAAAAAAAAGTGATACCCAGGAGGCATTTGACTCATGTGATGCCAATCACGGGAACTTAGCCAAACTAGGTCAACCCTGCAGGGCGGTATCATCCCAGACGATTTTGAATATATGAGATCATACAGTCACGCCGCCCCGTGGCGTTGACATAGTGAATACACGCCAAGCGCGCTGAGTTCAGCAGGGGCTTGATCAAACGACCCACCGTGGCGAAATGTTATTCCAACCCGTGTCTCCTGATACGGCTGAGAGTCATTCAGACCATCCGTCCCCCTGCAAAATTACTAATGGTTTCATAATTCACTGTCAACTTGATAGCATGCATTATCATTACAACCGCGTACGCACACATGTAACAGAACCCGACTTCCCCATGTGCCTTTGATGGAAGCTCTGAGTCAGACAACCTAATGGCTTTTGGCGCAAAATGCAATTTGGGCAGACAAGTGAAATGTTACGACGAGGGATGACAAATTGCTGGACATTCAGGCAGCAGGTCAAATTGCAGCCATGTTTCTTGTGTGTTTGCATCGTGTGTCTGCCGTCAACAAAATAGTATTTGTACTTCCGTCTATGAAAAGTTTATCGCCTACTCTCTTTGGATTATTATTGAGTTGATTGAATTCGATTTACCGATACCTGCATAATGGTCACTTATTAGAAATTCGTGTTATCTGGTTTGCGCACAAATAAACGAATACAAAATTCATACCGTAGACCACGAACGTTTTAGAAGTTATTTCCAACTGGGTCACTTCGTTGCAGAGTGATAAGTAATACAAATGCACCTAAAACAAAACAAAAAAATATCGACGAATTTTAGTTCGCTGTTAATATTGATACTGATATCAATCATGAGATTTACTTACTGTAAATGTCATGTTAGTTCGAGTTTCTCTGTTGTAGGGTATCAAATGCAATCTGATCTAATCCATTGTTGTAGCCAGGTCTGTCACAAGTTCCCACAGGTAAATTACAATGCATTTAGTCCAAAGTCGAGTCACAAACTTATTCCAATAAGCAGTGACAAAGATATTCCTTTGTAATATTATTCAACCTCTACTCACATCGTGCAGTACGCGCGGCGCGCGCCAAGTTCCATATAAGGAGATGTTTTGCTCGCCTTTGGCGAGCAATTGCCCCCCCCCCAAGGCAAAAGCCATACATATGTATTTTTATATTTTTATGGTAGTGCCCCCCCCCCAGTTGGTATTATGCCCCCCCCCCCCCGATTCTCAGGGCTGGCAAAGGGACTGTTAAAACAACTCATTAGATATAGTGATGACACCTCAAAAAAAATTACATCACCAAAAAGGCACACACAATATCGTGATAGACGTGTGAAGCTGTGCTTCGTCGAGTGTTCGTGACCAAAATATTAAACAGTGGTGATCAATATTGCATTTCAACTTTGTTTGAAGCTTTGCTGTTTGTATCTCATTTTTATATTTAAATGCATCTCATTTTCGTATTTGTAGACGTTTTGTCTTCCCAGCAAAATGTTGATTTTCCTCCTCCTCTGGATTGGTCGCGTGAAGTCATAATAAAGTGCACTCTTAGCGCAGCTTTGCCGTTGGCTTTGTATAACAGCTTTAAGGACATTCTTCTTAAATTGTTTGTCAAGTCCTTAAAGTGGTAAAGTCTCCGAGTCAAAATGTAGGGCAGGGAAAACACGTAGTGAAAATATTGTGTAAACTACCTGAGCAGTAAATGCAAAAATGGTTTTTTGCACCCCCTAGAGATATTTACCGACACATTTAGCAGTATTTGTAGGCCTATCCACAGGATGGAGTAGACATCATCTTACACTGAGTGGCGTTGTTTAGACGGACTTGTGCACGTACGTTTCATGGACTATTTCTGCCTGTCAGTCAAGGAGTGCGCATTCACCAATCAGATCGCGAGAAATGCATAATACACAAATCAAAGTTGTTGATATCAACGCTTTATGCCACTCCTGGAATTTTCCTACTGAATCTTAGGAGTTGGTTGGCTGGGCTTTGTTATTTTATGTTTCTGTTTCCAATATTGTATGTAGTTTTGTTGCCAGGAGGTCATAACTCGCATTCCTTAATCACTGAGACAGTTTACCCATTCCTATTGGTCGAGAGCCCGACGTCAAATGGTTGGTCTTAAACCGCCGGTAAAACACCACATCGCGCAGTACGCGCCGAGGGGGCGCCCATCTCCATATAAAGTCCGGTTCATACTCGGCACGAAAGCGAACGCGAATTTGTGACGTCGTGGCAAGTATTCGCGCTGCGAATTCGTAAAAGTTGAACATATTTCAACTCGGGCGAATTTCGCAGCGAATGTTTCATGACGTCAAATTTGCTTCGCATTCGCATTCGCGTGAAGTATGAACCGGGCTTAAGGAGATTATTAGCAGTATGCGCACGCGGCACATACCAGAGACATGGCCAGAGGGGTGCTTCTCAAAACCTAAAGTAAAATCGTCGGAATGTGAATTTTTTGACATATTTAGACTTTTTGACCGAAAGGTATTTATGATTCGGTGAGAGCAGATATCCACGTCCAGGCCCAAGCCGGTTTTAAACCTACTTGTTTAAAACCAGCAAAGCACGTATTTATACCCTTACTGTTTCGTTTGGTCAGTACAATCATTTTGAAAAGTCCCAAGAACCAATATTCTACCTGTACCAATATTTATCGGTTTTCACATTTTAACGCCAGTGAGCCAAAATGCTGATCTAGATGCATTGAATTGGTCTCCTTCTTAATACCAAGCTTTTGATGTCTTCCATATGGTATGATCATTCGTTCTATTTGAATCTGCTCGGATTAGGTGTCAACTGTAAAGTATATTCCAGAACGACAGGCCCTTATTTTCGTCAGTTGTATTCGCTCTTCCTTAGCTTTCACCTTTATTGTGAGAAATATGGCTTAAAAATGTAGACAAGGCTACCTGCCTGGATTGTAGATTCAGTAGTATGGTTATTCAATTTCATCTGAACTTTCATGACTACTTAACAAACAGATGAAGCAGCAGATATTATTTCAGATGGTATCTGATCGACAAGACATGTTCCCCCGGGCGATTTAGAATGGTAAGCTCGCACGTTGAGCTAATACAAAAAAATTGTTTGAAATACACACATAAACGAGAGGTGATGCTGTATCAAAGTAGTGTTAGGGTGCACTTTTGGCACGGCTAAGATGCGAAACACGAGACGACAGGGTTCAGAGTTGGAAGGCAGAAGTTTTGTCTGTCATTTTTTGACAGCAATGAGAAGCATAGAAGCAGTATGCCTCAGGTGATTCTGGCGCTCCCGAAATCATAAATCATCTCGAATGGATTTAAACATTTACGTTGAGTGACAAGTCTTTGTATGTTGACAGTTGAACCATTTCATCTTGGAATTACATATACTGTGCAAGAAATAATAGTTGGTTATATTGCTCATATCACTTCTAATGTTATTAGAAGTGTTATGAGTAATACAAACAAACAGTTAATATGAACCTGTTCATCAAATGTTAGGAAAACCTCGTAGACGAATTCGCTCTAAAGGTGTCACAAACGTATTTGTTTTCATCAAAAAATGTCATCCTTTAAAGCGGATTTGGAATCCAAGGGAGATTTCTTGTGTCGTCCAGAAGCGTATAGTGGACACGCCCTGTAATGTGTTTGTCTGTTTGTTTGTTACGCGGGGTTTGGGGGGTTTTTTGGGGGGGAGGGGTGGGTTTATTTTTAATACAAATAGAAAGCACAATTGTAAGTGGCGACAGAAAAGGAAAAGCTTCTTTTTTTAATCTTTTCGTTTGTATATTTTGTTTTACAATTTTCTTTTCATTTATTTATTGTTTTTTTTTATAAAATTATCTCTCTTCGGCACAAGGGTTATTTTGTAGTTCTCTCAGAACAGATTTTCTATGAAGATAATAATGTATCGATATTTATTTCTACCAATATACACAATATAGTATAACAATAAACACACTGTAAATTGTTTTGGTATTTATTTTTCTTGTTTATTACAGAAGCATGCGGTGCAGAATCGATCCACCTTGGACCAACGGAATCCTACGACCTCAAATCACCCAGTTATCCCTCTGACGTCACCACATCCCTGCGCTGCAATTGGACAATAACGTCGGCTCGAGGCGCGAAGATCAAGCTCGTCATTCACGATTTGCGTATCAATCACTACACAGACAGTATCACCATCGTGAACATCCGAACGCCCCCGAACGCAAGTTCGGATTACCCTCTGAGACATTACCGCGAGGGCAAAGTTCAGATGGTGATGTCAGCCGGTCACGTGATGGGAGTTCAGTTATTGGCTAAGTCGCATTGTTTGGATGACTTCGATTCAGCGTGTGAAGGCAGTCGGTTTTGGATTGAGTTTTCTCAAGTAACGAGAGGTAGGTGCCCCCCCCCCCAAAAAAAAAAAAAATAATATAATAATAATTCATATAATAATTACCATGGATTGGACATTTGTGAGACATCCCCATAGACTTGTGCACAACATTTTTCGAACTGAAGCGTGCCCTGACCCGATATTCCCTTGTCCTTTTTCCACGAATTTCGGTATGTTTACTAGACCACGAGCAACAACAAAAACCTAAAGGGGGGCTGTGACATTAAGGAGACATGAAAATGTCTCCCTAAAATAAAATAAAAAATTAAAATAATAATAATAATAAATATATCTATGAAACATTAACAAAATAAAAAGAGATAAGGTCAGGTTTGTGTGCATCTTTTGGCTTTTTTATTCATTTCAATACAAAATTGTTTTGAATTTCTTCTTTCGCATAGAACTTGTGTTTATCTCGAAATATTGTGGGTGGAGAGCGCTTATTTCAATGCGGTACCTTATGTACAGCTCTAGGAAACAACTGGACAAACAGTTTTTACAAGTATATCGAATTGATGAGGATCTCATTTGGCAACAGGGAAATATTAAAGAGTATTGATATTATTGGGCAACAGGGAAATATTAAAGAGTATTGTAAAGAGAGCAATTTTTCCATCTGCCCTTTTGATAACAGAACAATAACTGCATGAAATACATACAGCAATTAACATTCTCAATTATACGTGCTATCAAAAAGTATGTAAATGTTTTTTTTTTTCAAAGTGCGAGATGGTACTTGACATTCACACGTTATGTCAGACTTACCCAATACATTCAACCCGAATACCCTAAAACAAATACAAACAAATAAACAAACACCCCCCAACAACCCAATAAACAAACAAACTAACAAACACATCACACATACTGAAATTTGTATCCTTATGGAGACATTTCTTTGTTCTCGCATACTAAAGTTTTCGAGTTTTGAAAGTACAGTTTCAAAATGCTCTTATTTTAACGAGAATTAATTTCCTGGGCTGAAATTCGGACTTAATACCCCTTTTCTTAAATTGTACAATTAGCAACATATCAACATACCTTGGAAATGTCTAGTTTTTGAGTAAAATCTATATATTCATTTCGTGAAAACCTTGTGGAGACGTATTCATCTATATAAATTGCCCTGTGGAGACGTATACATTTTTTTGTTTCCTATCGTGTGCATGTCTCCAGAGGGCACGGTGTATCGGATCAACAGGGCTTATGCACTAGACTATTCTGGATGACACAAGAAATCTCCTTCTCATTGCCAAATCCGCTTTGAATTGACAGATGTTTGAATAATAATGTTAAATAGTATACATGTACTTGTAATAGATCAACTTCTGAAACTACTTATGCAAGAAAATAATAACGTGATGCACGTATTAAACATTTAAAAATACATTGGGAAGTCGTGGATAAGCTGTAAAAAGAACTCATACAGCATATGTCAGTGATGTATATGTTTCATTGTAGATGCATCGCTCAGATCTGAGTGTAACAACCTTTCAGGGATGTTTTTGTGTGACGACCACAGCATTTGCTTGAGTCAAAATGGACGCTGTGACGCTATAATCGATTGCCCCGACCAATCAGATGAACGCAATTGCCGTAAGTTTTTTGTTGTTTTTGTTGCATGTTTGTTGTTGTTGTTGTTGTTGATGTTGCTGGTGTCGACGTATTCGTTGCTGTCGTGGTTGTCGTCTTTGTTTATTCCTGTGTTGTTTGTTGGGGTGTTGGGGTTTTGTTTGTTTGTTTGTTTCTTTCTTTCTTTCTTTCTTTCTTTTGTTCTTTGTACTTGTCACCATTGTTTGTTTGTTTGTTTGTTTGTTTGCTGTTTGTTAGAATTAACTTTTATCGTCATTTTGTTGTTTGTAGATTTGTTTTGTTGTTGTCCTCGTTGATTTAGGTGGTGTTTTTACCATTCTTATTTACAACTTTGTGCGATAGGAAACAACAGGGCAAACACCATTTAAAAGTATTTCGATTTACCAGTGCATCATTTTGGACAACGGGGAAATATTAATAGTGGTGTAATCTGCCATTTTGATAAGCAGAGCAATTACTGCAGATGTATGTTCTTTGTTATCTCTGATATGTCTAAACGGGTTTTTTTTATTACGGAATAAAAAAGTTATTTTTCTTTAAAAACCCAGTTGCATATTTTATGTTCATAACTCGAAACTTTAAAGGCCTTTAAACAGCCATAACGTATCAACACAATGTCCGATTGAAGTCTAGCACACAGTAGTGTAAGGAGAATTATATTGTATTGTCTTTCCTTACACGCAAACCCTCATTTCGACCTCTGCCCAGTTCTGTCTTAGTTCCCCCTTAATTCCCCGGAACGCCTCACTACAACTAATTACTAAATAAAAAGCTTACTGAATCTTATCTTACGAAGAAACTACGATGTGAGCAGTTTGCTTTAATCATTGTAAAGACTCGAGTGTTTATCAAGTATCAAAGGTAAACTCAGTTCATAAAAATCTCAAAAAGATTTACAAATACAGAATATCATAGCATTTTCGACAGTCCTAACTTAGGACTAACAGACACGGGCTTTGTACACCGTGTCTCATCCGTAAACAAACAAAAAATACTAAACTAATTCCAAGTGTTTTCTTTTTAGACGTGGGTGTTGTTAGCATAATTTAATTCACACCTTAGATGGTTTTCTGGTTATTTGTCTTTGAATAATACAAATGGTGCATCGGGGTAATTAATTGGCGTAATCTTTTGATCTCTTTCACGAAGCCCGCTCATGTCCGTCCAACGAGTACTGTGCAAATACCAGCGCGTGTCTGAGACGACGATATCACTGCGATGGTATTCCTGATTGCGCCAGGGGTGAAGACGAGAAATCGTGTGGTATGTTCTCAATCCGCTCAACAAGGGCTTATCTAACAAGATAGAGGCAGCACTCAATTAGTGTTTATGGTGTTTATTTAGTTGGACAGATATGCTGAATTAGAGGTCAATCTCTATGGGTATTTTTCATTGCCTACAATACAGGGTGAGACAAAAACGAACGAAACCCAAATGTCAGGACCACATGTACACTTTCAAACTCTAGGATAAAAACCCTATTCATAGGCTTGCTTTCAGTACAATAATCATTCAAATCACTCACGTACTTTTCAAGTTACGGAATTTCAAACACCAACTCCGTTTTAAAGCTATGTCCACGGATCACCAAAAAGGTAAGTGTTCTTTCAGCAAAACGAAAAAACAATTTACATAGGAATGATTACTTGTTTTCAGTTTGCTAAAAGAACAACTCCTTTTTTGTGATCCGTGGACAGAAGTTTAAAACGGTGCTTGCGTTAGCTTTTAGGCTAACATTTTGCTCTTTGTTGGCTATTTTTCCGGTGATCAGATGTGCGTCACTGCCCAAAGGACTGCTCGTGTCAAATTCGCGATGCAAGTCTTAGTACCAATGGCCTCCTAATTGTGAACTGCAGTAACAACCCAAATGTCACCAATGTTTGGAACAATCTTCCCAGGATCACCAAGAAACTGTAAGTTCTAGGATTTGTTTTGCTCCCCTAAATAACACTGACCTTTTACTTCAAATTTTCACAGCAGGTTTATGTCAAAAACACATGAACAAACAAAATGCGTTGTTAACATCTTTCAGATTCAGCATCCTTTACCGAAATACCCCTTTAATGAGAGACTTTTGAGACTACAGGTGGCAGCAAACACACCGGTCTCTTTCCACAGTTTTCATGTTGAACATGCGCACATTAGCATGAACGTGACGCAAAAAATCCAAAAGGGCTGGTGTGTTTGCTGCCACCAACGTTCATAAAAGTTTCCCATTTGAAAATGAAAGTAATTAACCTGCCTCATAGAAAAGATTTTGTTAAAACTTATATTTGGAATTTTAAATTCCACTTTTGAATCTTATATGAATAACAGTGCCCATGTAACCCCATTGAATTTCATAAGAATATCATTCCAAGTATCAATGATTCTTTTTGCGTTGCATTTTTCACTTACATATTTCTTGATTTCTTTCAAAACGATACAGCGTTATGAAGAAGAACAACATCACGGATTTAAAGCCAGGGCAATTGCTGGATTTACCGCAGCTCGAGCAACTGTAAGTCCCTCTTGAATTTGTACATAATTCTTTGTTCTCAACACGTACAAGGTACCGCCTTATTCTCAAAATTATAAAGAGTGAAAATTCACACCATTCGAGTGAAGATTCACTCCCACAGTCGGAAAGTAGGGACGAGCCATTTTAGAATTGCAATTTCGTCAATCGTAAAGATCGAGGTTTCACTCGAGCTTCGACTGAAGTGGTTCATTTTCCAGTCAATGTCAATCGAAAATGAGAGTGATTTTCACTCTAAAACGTGTAGTCCCTAATTTCACTTTTCTGAATTTAGAGAGTAGAAATGCATCTTATACCACTTCAAAGTCCGTGTGTCTCAAATTTCCCGAGCTTTCACTTGTTTAATGGAAATAGGCTAACAAAAATGGTTGTTATTAATTATTTCTCATAATGAAACCAAGGATTCCTCAAAAGCACCTTAGGCACTGTAGCTCGCAAGCCTGACGACACCTGTAGAGCGAAGACAATGAGAAGCAATTATACACTGTAAAAACAGTGTTTAGCATTTAAACACATCAGAAACGTGTTTAGAGTTTAATACGTTTAGGAATGTGTTTCAATTCTAAACGTTTACCACTTTTTAATGTTGTGAAACTAAACGTGTTTACATTTTGGACATGTGCTTAGGATTGTATATCTAAATGTGCTTAGGAAGGTGTTTAAATGCTAAACATGTTATTCATTGCACATGTCAAACGGATAATGCGTGTCACAGAAAAAAAAGGACATCTAAACATGTCATGATGCTAAACGTGTGGAAAAAGTGGGTACAGAATTAGTGTTTAGAAATGTGTTTAAATCCTAAGCACCATTTTTACAGTGTACATTTTCAGAGGTGGGAGGAAAACCCCAGAAGATTGTTCAGGGGGAATCCTCGGAATCAGGTAGTGACTGAAAACCCAATCCACATGTTAGCACAGGTGGGATTCGAACCCGGGCGGAGCAGTGGACGATGAGGACAATAATCACGGCGCCAACCTGATCCCCAATTTACAGATACTGCAGCCAACTTTTTACACTTGCAAATTATTAACTGGTGTAAAAGAGCATAAACTGCACTTCTGTATTTCATTTTCTTTTTACATTTTGTTTATTATTTCATTTCACACGTTTCAGGAATCTAGAAGATAACCAGTTGACTACGCTAAAACGTGGAATTTTCACTGGTCTCCGTCAATTAGGGTTACTGTGAGTATGAAACCAAGTTGGAGCAATATTTTAATATAATTACATGTACATGTACCGAAAGATTCTTCCGTACTTCCTCCGCACTTAAACGTAATACCAACGTGCTCATACCGTCACTAAAGTTATCTAAAGCCTTAGGGCGCACTTCATCTAGCTTTTTTTCCCCAAGAGGGCGCACTAACTGGGCGTTGCCATCTTGTTTTCGGCCGAAAATCGCTATCACGAATGACCGCTATAACGAACAGTCTTTTGTGGATCCCATCGTGTTCGTTATAGCGACGTTCTACTATATCACCATTTTGGGAATATCAAGCATGTTTTTTTTTAATAGTCACGTGTCACCAAGGCACGATTGATAGTTTGAAATCGTTAGAAATGTTGTGAAATGGCTGTCCGTAAAATGGTTGGAGACTAGGGGAATTATTGGAGACCTTTATATAAGCTGCAATAGACTATATTAATAATTACGCCCACTTCAAAATAGGGAAAATACTTACAACACTTCATGGTACTTGAGACACACATCAAATTAAAGCTGATGTCATTTACTACTCAATTTTGGACGGTTAACCGATGACTTTTGGGAGAAATTTACATCTAAAAATGATCCAGAAAGAGGCCCATCGCCATTTTGAAAAATAGAGTCTACGCTCCATTGCAAAAAAGCTTTATTGTAGGGCCCAATTTTATCTGAACTTCAAAGACGTACGAGATCACAGGCCTGTTTTCGGCTTCCCTTTTTTTTTTTTTTACAAACCCCCAATTGTATGGCTCACAATATGCCTTACAGGGTGGTGCAAAAAGAAGGAAGAAAATGGTGAATTTTATTTTTAAATATAATCGCAAGAATAGTGTTATTATGCTAATCTGAATACAAGTCACCAAAATCACTGCTGTCCACGTGAATGTTTAGTGTAGTGTTTTTGTTTTGTTATCAAACTCTGGAGCTCCGTCAAGCGGATGGAATAAAGTGATCCGTGGACAAACAGGTATGGCACATGAAATGCTTAACCTATCATATCTTAGGGACAAAATATGCATTTGCAATCATATTTTCGTCACTTATGTTTAATAATCAATATTTTATTACCATTCAATTGATTTTTTGAAATATGATAAAAAAATAGGTGCAAATTGCTGTCAAAGTTGAGTTTCCTTCTTTTTCCACTACCCTGTAATAGCAGAAAAATTGAGGGCATACAAATTGAGATTTGGGCCATGTTCAGGCCTGCACCAATATGATAATATTTTCTGCAGGTTTTCGTAAGGACAATACACAAACCTAGCATGTCCACTGGTTCGTGCACGTTGTAAGCACCGACACTATTAATGTCAGGGCTTAACGTGCTGAATGCCGACCCACTTCAATTAAGGTTTAACAAAAAGTCGGCTTCTCTTTGTCACTCTGCAGGAAACTCAACATAAATAATTTGAACGCGATAGACGAAGGAGTGTTCCAAACGCTTGAGTCCCTTAAAGTTCTGTAAGTTCGAATTTCTACTTCTCTTTTATTTCTATACGTTCCTAAATATTATTTCTCAGATACTCTTTGTGGTATATTTTATATCTTATATAATATTTCAATGGTTTGATACTAACACATTTGACACATGTTATAATTGCATAAAAAAAAACATCATCAGCAACAGAATATCATATTTTTTTCACGAAAACTTACCTAACATACTCGTGTTTTTTTTTTTTTTTGGTTTTTGGGTTTTTTTTGCTCAGACGTCTTGATGATAACAGCATCACGTCTCTCACAGCGGAAATGTTCGAGGGTCTTACCAGTTTAACAAATGTGTAAGTATTTTACAATTAATGGTCATTATTTCTTCCTTGACATTCTGATTTCCTTCCGATGATACCTTTTGGATTAGACATTTGAATATCAAAGTTGATTAGACATTTGAATATCAAAGTTGATTGGACATTTGAATATCAAAGTTGATTGACTTCAAAATGTATACATTGTTTGAATCATAAGTTGTGAACAATTGTTGGTTTCATGGTGGGTGGTTGTAAGTTGCTTGCAACCAAAGAGACTCGAACGTACAGTCAATGATAGCCTACTAGTGCGTGGATTTTGTACCCTCACTAGATTTAGCGCAATCCTTAGATCATTTACAAGCGAGAAGTTTCTCGCTAGGGCAGAGATTAACATGTCATTTACTTTTTCATTTCAAAAACCCACGTTTTAAAATAATAACTTAACATTGGCATCTTACGTCTTCAACAGACGTCTTGGAAACAACCGCATAGGGAGACTCGGAGCCAATACTTTCCAGCATCTAGGGAACCTCATTGGTTTGTAAGTTGACTTGTTTGTTGTTTAGGAATCTAGATTACTCCATCAGGAGACACTTTGCCGCATCCATATCTACCTTCCCCATCTTTAGCACAACATCCTCTTAGCCCCATATTTGCACTAACACTTCATGCACTGCCATACTCTCCCTGCATCATCCCCCCCCCTCCGTGATCCTCACCTACCACTACCTCCTTTGTTCCTTCGTCTGCTTTATCCCCTCTCTTCTTTCCCTTTGATCTTCGTCCACTGTCACCCTCCCTTGATCCTTCCCCTGTTCAATTGCTCTTGTGTGTTACTCCTTACAACCCTGCATAATAATATAAAATAATACCAGGGTCTTATATAGCGCACGTATCTACCAACAATTAGGTACTCAAGGCGCTGGAAATCATGTCTATTATTAAAGACAGTCAAAATACAATTTATGAGAAATATGAGACCCAGCATGATTGCGTGCCCCCTTCAACTTCACCTACTACAACACGCATCTGGTCCTTTCCCTGTTTAATCGCTCTTGTGTGTTTCTCCTTCCAACCCTGCATAATAATAACAATTATACCGGAGTCTGATATAGCGCACGTATCTACCAACAAATAGGTACTCAAGACGCTGGAAATTATGTCTGCTATTAAAGACAGGCAAAATGAAGTTTATGAGAAATTTGAGACCCAACATGATTGTGTGTCCCCTTCAACTTCACCTACTGACCCACTTCCTTGGTCCTTCCCCTATTTAAACGCTCTTTTGTGTTAATTAGTGGAAATTAGTGGTTTAATAGTAGAACACTGTTTTTCCAAAGGTGCCCAGCAATTACAACACACATACGATAGTATAAAAGTAGAAAAACAAGCAATTACAATAAAATTAAAATAACAACATTACAACTATTGAATTGTATTGTAGCTGTATTTGTAATGTATTGTATTTGTTGATACACATGTTTGTAGTATTTTTTTTATTGTATGCAGGGCCCCAATGGAAACCAGTTTTGAACTGTTTGAGCATACCCTGGGTAAAGAAATGTTCTGAATAAATAAAGATATGATTAAGAAGAGTAATAAACAGTAAAATGAGACAAGGTTAATCACGGTTGTTACATTGGCAGTAAAAAAGACAAAAACAAGACATACATGTACCATATAATATTTAACTATCAGGTTCGTGTAGAGGCGCTTAAAACTGGCAAGAGTGGGAGGCAATGGATGTTTAGGTGTCCCAGGGAGGTTATTGAATAAATTTACTCCACGAGCAGCAAATTAGTGTTTTCCAGAGTTAGATTTGGATATAGGAGGAACCGGATTACCTTGTGAACAGACCTGGTATTGTATGAGTGGGTACTAGAAACAAAATGAAAACAGTTACAAAATTGAGGAGGCAATTTGGATGTTAAACTCTTATATACTAGAGTAGGTAAGTGAAAATCTCGTCTTTTACTTAGAGATTGCCATCCATGTTCTTCCTTCCAATCCTGCATATGCTTGTGTAACTCCTTCATCTTCACCTATACTGCCTCACTCCTGCAGATAGCCTCTTCCATGTTTATTCCCTCCGTTGTGTTTTTCCTTCCAACCCTGCATATTATATTTCTCCTTTATGTTTGTTTCTTGTACCGCTGTCACTTGCCTTTGAAGAAGGTCTTATAAAGACTGGAACGCCGGGCCCATTTGTATATTTCGGGTCAATGCAGTCAGTAAGCAGCTTGCAGAAGCTTAAATTCTTTTCACGTTTTCCTCTTTTTCAGAGACCTAGCTGAAAATCGAATTGCAACGATTGAGCCGGATGCATTCAGCGGTCTAGTTCATCTTAGATCTTTGTAAGTGGCGATCCTGGGGTTTGGCACATCCAAGTCCATTCTGGAACATGTTCCTTGCTATGGCTTGAGCTTCGAATATTTTATTTGTTTTAATCTTAACATGAAGAAAAAAGAAGTTTAAAAAAGAAACCTCACATTTGAGTTATATTAAGCAAACAGTTCTCCTTCTCCAATTTCTTCTTTACATCACTTACTTTTATTTCGGTTGTGTACTATATGAACCTAGCAACCAGTTGTGTAAAAGTTGTGTAATATTTTACACAAGTTGTGTAAACAACAGTTTACACAACAGGTTGTTAGGTTCATATAGTACACAACCGTTTGATTTTTACACAACCGAAATAAAAGTGTACCGTATATATTCACTGAACCCAACCCCGTGGTAACGCATACCACATCAGATCACCATTTTAACACAACTATTACCCGACACTCAGTAGCTTAAACCTTTGTCTTATAAATCCTTAATTCTAAATCAGTCACAATTATCTGTAAAGATTACCCTGGGATGCGGTTTTATTCTGTGTTTGATGATAGTCAGCATGAAACACTGGAAGAAATCAAATTCAACTCTAAAAGTAAAATTATGTTCTTGTATTGAATTCGTATTATTTTCTGTTTTCACCTAGAGAGCTACGAGATAATCTACTGACGGTTCTAGAGACCGACATGTTCTCTCACTTGAAGTCCATGACAGTATTGTAAGTAGAAAACCAACAGTTCACCTTGTGTCATCCATTTACCTAGTGTTAGGAATATCCCATTGCGCAGCAAAAGTCTATATTATGTGACCAGATTCGGCAATTAAATATGCAAAACAAGACTTCGTCTTGACCTCGAGATTTTGACCATTCAGCGAGCGCCTTCATTGTGTCCTCGGTAACCCGTTGTTGTATTACAAAAACATGGCAGCCAAGTTGATCAATCAATGGCTGAAATCGGTCCAGTAGTTTTTACTGGAGAGCCAGAGAGCATACTTTTTGAAGCACACTTCTTTCGTGTTCTCTCATGTCGGTATTTTAACATAACAATCCCTCTATAAATTCACAATGTAAGTCAAAATGGCCCCCGACTTTGTTTCACAAAAAAATAGGCTCTAGAACAAAAACTACTGGACCAAATCGAGCGATCTTGGTGTAACTTTTCGTGTAATAGAATTCCAAATCATTGGTACATTCTGCCATTCCCCAGTTTTGAAAACAAGTTCAGCGTCCAGAAAAGAGTCAAGAAGTAAATTCTAAATAAAAACTATGATAGACGATATTAAAAAAAAAAGATTCATTCATTTTAGTTTTGAAAATTAAAAATGTCAGTTTCTTTTATTTATTTGTTATATTGACATCTGTTTCAGAACTATTGAGGATAATCCCTGGACAGTTATTGAACGAGGCGCGTTTAACGGCCTGGAGAACATCCAAATTTTGTAAGAAATAACTAATTATGTTTTTGTTTACAACGTTAAGTTGGTTGTTTATGTTATTTTGTTTTCTCATGTTTAATGCCTACAGGACCATTTGCTTTTCTTGCATTTTGTTCATTTTCAGTATTAACACCTTTCAAAAACCAAAGACGAATGTTCAAAACCTAACCCGTTGAAGTTTCAGTTCAGTTGATATTATTACACTTATCGAGAAAACAGTCTAAAACATGAACAACCCTGATCACAAACACGATTTCCAAAAACAAAATTTCCAAAACAAAATCAGTCAATTGAGTGATCATTGAAAATCAGCTACACTATTTTCGTCTTAAGCCCCCCCCCCCCAAAAAAAAAAATATTAAGGGGTGTTTAGTACCGGTACCATTACGATGTTTAATCCAAGTAAACTTTTTAAAGATAATAATTCGGTGTACTTTGGGGGTAAATGCAGATGAACATGTGGATTGGGTTCTCACTCCCTACCTGATTCTGTGGGTTTTCCCCAGAACATGCTTCTGTTTTTTTCCCTCCCACGTCTGGAATTGTCATTCTTTCGCAATGTCTCCTCTCTACAGGTTTCTTCGGGCATGCGAGCTACCGTTCCTAGGGCACTTTTTTTAGGAATCCCCTGTTTCATTTCCAGAAATAAATAAATCAACATAACTAAATGATTCTACATGCCATCTCGAAGGTGTTCAATATTTAGTTTTATTATTTAAATCTGCAACAATGAATTTAGGGTAACCATTTAATACGGTTTCTTTTCTATTTTAGGGCTTTGATACGCCTTCCTAAGGACGTGAAAGACTTCACAGTGGATAAACATGAACTTGAACACATGGAAAATCTGGTACATCTGTAAGTAGCATAGACGCTATGCGTTAAGGCGGAGCCTGAGGGCACTTGTTTTGTTTTCTTGAATACGCATGAATAAACATGCTGTGTATTCATTGTTACTAGATTATAATACAACAAAATACACCTTCTAAAATAATTGCAACGCACAGGGTTTGTTGTATGTATCTCTTTGAAACTAATACGGAGTTTGATTTGCAAGCATATACATTGTTTTTTTGGAAGTATCTCACGTGGAAATTCCAGCTGAAAACAGTTCAACTGGAAATTGAACTGGTGTAACTAGTTTTGAACTGGTGTAACTGGTTTTGAACTGGTTTAACTGGTTTTGAACTGATTTAACTGGTTTGAACTGATTTAACTCGTTTGAACTGATTTAACTGGTTTTGAAATGGTTAAACTGGATTTCAAATGGTTTAAACTGGTTTAATAATTTGAACTTGTTTTGAACTAGTGTAACTAGTTTTCAGCTGGTTTGAACTGGTTTAACTGGTTTAAACTGGTTTAACTGGTTTAAACTGGTTAGACTAATTTGAACTGGTTTTGAACTGGTTTAACTCGTTTTGAACTGGTTTGACTGGTTTTGAACTGGTTTAACTCGTTTTGAACTGGTTTAACTGCTTTGAACTGGTTTAACGAGTTAATGGAACCCCGCTAATTACCATCGCATGTGAAAACAATCCCCATTGTTTGTGCAAAGCTGATGACAAGGCTTCCTCATTGTGCCGAAGTTAAATGTTTACCAATAAAGAATTGTGTAGCATGCATGCATTAGAAAGGAAACCATGAATTGATAGTTTCTCCAACCTAAACAATACAATCCACAAACTCGTGCTGGTAAATAGCCAACTTCTTGAGGCCTTTTTGAGGATGTGATCTTGATTGCTCTCCTCTTTCATTTTGGTTTTCGTGTTCTAGAGTTGTGGACGATCAGAAAATGTGCTGCCTGCTTTCCTACCGGCCCAACGGCATAAGAGACAGCTGCATACTAGGTGGTCTACAAAGAGACTTTACAGTATCACTATCCTACTTCACTTGCGATCGACTTATGCACAACTCAGTCCTACGGGTGTTCATATGGTGCTTGGGAATTAGCGCCCTCATCGGCAACACGTTTATCATCGTATGGAGGCTGAAGATGACTGACTCTGGGAAGCGTTCGCAATCGGTCCTGATTCTCAATCTGGCCGTGTCGGATCTCATCATGGGCGTGTATATGCTGATCATCGCTGGGGCGGACGCGCACTTTCAGGACTCCTTTTTCCTTCACGTGGAGGAATGGAGATCAGGGCACCTGTGCAACTTCGCTGGTTTCCTGTCCATGCTGAGCTCCGAAGCCTCTGTCTTTTTCATCACCATGATCAGCATTGATCGCTTTCTATGCGTCGTGTTCCCATTCGGGAAGAAGTGGTTGCGGTTAGACTCGGCTCGAGTCGCCAGCATGGCAATGTGGGGCATCGCTTTACTGATAAGCATCCCACCACTGCTCCTGCAAGACAAAATTGAAGGGTTTTACGGTCTGAGCGACGTCTGTGTCGGACTACCTCTGATAAAATCTAACCGTACTTCCAAAAAGGACGACATTCACCTTTTCGGCATACCCGGAGAATCATTCAACACGACGGTGACCGAGTCTGCGACTCCTTCGCGTGTGTTTTCCGTGACAGTATACCTCGGCATCAATTTGGTATGCTGCCTCATCGTACTGCTGTGCTACATGGCGATCGCCTTTGTTGTCACCGTCAAACTGCCCTCTAAGAAGCTGCAGAAGCGCAAGGATAAGGAGCACCGTAAGAAGGAGATGGCAATGGCCCGTCGGATGCTGCTCATCGTCGGCACAGACTTCTTCTGCTGGATGCCAGTCATCTTAATGGGAATCCTATCCATGAGTGGGGCTGTAGACATCCCCGACGAGACCTACGCCTGGGTCGTGGTCTTTGTTATACCCATCAATTCCTCCATCAATCCCTACTTGTACACATTCTCAAACAGCAACGCGGTCTCTCTCAAGTGCTGTAAATTCCGAGGACCGGGATCCTCTGTTAATTCGGTCAAGATGAAGCCCCTGCACAGTACCGACGCCAAAGATGTAAGTCAGAGGTGTCGATCGGGAACACATACCTTCCTATAGCGGTCAAGTGAGACTTCAGGTAGTGTCGAAGCTGTAATCCAGCCAGGTAGCTGGTAAGGTTCACTTCATTAAGCTATCCAGGATAAGCTGAGGAAAGTTAATCGCGAGCGTCTGCATCGCGTTAGATTTGGAACAACCTCATCGGATCTACTTGCATGGGTCTGTAAACAACGCTGCTAACTTTACTGTGTACAACTCCGATCGTTCAGAATCCTTACCCGATACAGTTGACCTTTTTGCGGATAAACTTCCCCGCAACATCTCCCGATGTTTAATATGGCACGACCTCTTGCCGATACACGAGATGATTCAAACACAGAACGAAGAGTCGAGAGCGGATGTTGTTTAAGCAGGGGCAGATCTGTGGGGAGGATTGATTGAAATAACGGGGGAGTAAGTGGCAGATGTGCCTAAGGCACGCCCTGCTAGGGGGTGCGGAGCATGCCCCTGATAGTACAGGCAATATAAGGTTTGACCTCAAACAAATTGCAACAGAATTTTTTTCACCACAGTGCATTTCTACAAGGTCCCTAAAATAACATACTAAAAGTCTTAAAAAATTGAGGTGGTGGAAATATGCCTAATTTGCATAAATCCAAAATGGCCGCATATGTTAGGACTTTCGCATTGATTTGGTCATATTTCTCATACTAGGTGGATTTTAGAGGTACTTTAAACAACAGTTTTAGTCCTTTTACATTGATTTACTCATTATTTAAGTCCTAGGTAAATTCCAAGATCCCTATGTTTCCGAAATTTTCCAAATGCGTTTAATTTGCATAAATGCCGTATATCAAATTGCCTAATTAAAGTTAAATTAATGGATGCCATGTGTGGACATGTACCAATTGAGTGTTCCCTGATAATCCAAGTCAAATTTCACACCACAGTGCATTGCTATAAGGTCCCTAAAAAAGTTGTTTAAAAATCCAAGTGGTGGATATATGCCTAATTTGCATAAATTCAAAAGGCCGCTAATTACATGATTTTCATATGATTTGGCGCGGCCATAATAGTATATAGGCCGTTATGTACTTTTGCTTTTTTTTTGTTTAAGAAGTAATTTTTGCCATATTTGGAAAGAGTTTACCTCCCTAAGCCGGAAATGCATTGGCGACATTTTTTCCCAGCTACCGTGTGGCGGCCATCTTGGATTTCAAAATGGCCGCCATTTCGAGCCTAATTTGTATCATAACTTTGGACTTGATTGTCACATGAAATTTATTTTGATGGCAAACCCCATGTTTTTGATACCAAGGAACCTGAGTACATTATTGTTTATGGTGTACTCCAAATGGATGGCAGCCATCTTGGATATTTCAAATATATGGCTGCCATTTTCGGCTTATTTGCATAATAAATTTGGACTCGAACGGCGTACGAAGTCAATTTCGGTGGCAAACCCCATACATTTGATACCAAGTAATCTTAATGACCCATTGCTGATGATCTATCCCAGATGTATGGCAGCCATCTTGGATTTTTTTTTCAAAATAGCCGCCATCTTGGATCTTATTTATAATAACATTGCACCTGAATGTCCTATGAAGTCCATGTATTTGAATGAACTCAAGTAAATCACTGTGGCGGGGTACTTACAGTTGATGGCAGCCATCTTTGATATTTCATAATTGCCGCCATTCTGAACTATTTGCATAATAAATTTGGACTTCAATGTCGTATGAAGTCACTATTGGTGGTGGCAAAACCCATAAATTTGATACCAAGGAATCCAATTAGCACATTTAGGCATCCCAAATGGATGGCAGCCATATTGGATATTCAAAAATAGCGGCCATCTTTGATTTCATTTAAATAATAAGGTGGCACCTGAATGTCGCATGAAGTCCATTTTGGTGGCAAACTGCATGTTCTTGATACCAAGGAACCCAAGTTAATCATTGTTGATGGGGTACTCCACTGGGAGTATACCCCATCAACAATGATTTTCGTGGGTTCCTTAGTATCAAAAACATGGGGTTTGCCACCAAACTAAACTTCATATGACAATCAGGTCCGAAGTTAGATACAAATTAGGCCCGAAATGGCGGCCATTTTGAATTCCAAGATGACCGCCACATGGTAGATAGAAAAAAAATGTTACCTATGGATTTCCAGCTTAGGAAGGTAAAGTCTATTCAAATAATTATGAGAAAAATTCCTTCTTTAGCAAAGAAACATGCAGTGGCCAAAAATATGACATAATATGCTATCTAGTAATAACTCTCGTCCTAAGTTGCTTTTCGGGGTACTTTAAACAACATTTTGTCATTTGACATTGGGGCCATTCAGTGTCGAATCACCCCCCAAAACTTTTAAATTTGAAACCCCAACCTCTTCAAATTGGATCATATTTAGTTTATGGGGTAATTTCGGCTGAAAAGCCGCAATTTTAAGTTTTAGCACCATCGGACAAACAGTTTTCGCGCTACCGCCCAGGCAATTTTGATCAAAATGGACATTGCTGCCATTTTCAAATGACCATATTTCTATAATCTGTGAGCCAAATCGTCACCGACACCACGAAGTAACACCCATCTACATACCAGTAAAAACTAGCAATCGGAGAAAACGGCAACTAAAGTTGAACGCCTTCTAAAACAACACTTTGCGTCAAAACGACAGAGTATTTTCAGTTGGGTTTCTCGTTGTGGACACTTGATGAATTGAATTTATTAAATCTGCTGTTTTTCACTCGTTTGTGTATTAAATAAACAAGAAATAAGAGAAAAAAGATGAGTGTTAGTTCGTGAAACCGAAAAAGCTGCGAAACTGTAAATTTTCGTTTTCACGAAGTAACACTCTTCAATGTATTTAACACGAGGAAAGTGCAACTTCAGGTCAGCGCGCGCGCGCTCATACAACTTGTTACAAGAAGAGTGTTACTTCGTGAAAACGTTTTTGCTCACTTATGAGCAGAGTGCGCGCCATGCATTGCAATGGAAAATGGAACTTGAGTGTTACTTCGTGAAAACGAAAATTGTCACTTTTGCGCAAAGGTTGCCATGGATACTTGGCGTAATTATTAAAGTAAAGCTCTTGAAGCTTTGAAACTTCGTGCAATGGTAGGCCTTGATGAATAATGTTTAAAAATCCAAAAAACTGAAAATCGAAAAAAATATGCTTTAACACGGTAGAGTGTTACTTCGTGGTGTCGGTGACGAAATGTGTTAATCTTAATTTCTTTTGAAAGGTTACATCATGAGAAATCCAAATTTACCATTGTTGTTTTTCATATCGGGGTTATTTTAAGTATAATGACATTTTGACCTTTAATTTGACCTTGAATTTGACCTAGTGGATCACCCGACATTGAGACAAACTTGGATGAAAATTAAACCCCAAGATGTTCGCTACAACGTATCAAAAAATTGGGAAAGGTAGTTTTTGTTCGGTTTTTGGCTCATCTCAAAGTTGGCATACGCGTTGCAAAATGTGATATCCCTATGCAGTGTACTAGTGGATTTATAGTAGGGATTTTTTTTTGGTCCCTGAAATGTGTTTATGTACAGGGTGTCACAAGACTGTTAACATTATTCCTTTTATTTTCTGAGTTAATTCATCAATCACTAATTTTTTTACGGCCGTAAAGTGTTATGTAACTTCGGAGGCGGCTGCTAGGTGAATTATGCAAATCGTAATTCCTTTTTTCTTTGTTGCATACCAATTCCGGGCTTGCGCCCATGCGGGAGGGGTATAAAACCCTCGCCCACGTATTTTCGGATTGAGATTTGCGGTTTTTTGGTTTATTTCTTTCCCGTAATATATAATTTGATTTTTGTGATTTGTAACTCCTGTGTTGAATCCTCTGTTCTCTTGAGTTATTCCTTGATTTTTGGTCCGAGTAGAGCGGCGCAAGGGTTTGCTCTGCGACACAGGGATATCACATTTTCCAACACTTATACCAACTTTGACAAGAGCTAGAAACCTTAACAAAAAATATTATACCCCATTGGAAACATAGGATCTCAGTACCTCGGACTGGAATGATGATGAAATCAATGTCAAAGGACAAATTGTTTATCAAAGTACTCCAAAAAGCAATGCCGGACAAGAGTTATGGCCAAATCAAAAATCATGTAATTAGTGGCCATTTTGAATTTATGCAAATTAGGCATATTTCCACCACTTGGATTGCTTTCCTTTTTTTAAGGACCCTTATAGCAATGCACCATGGTGTGAAATTAATTTATGTACATGACTGGACTTGGATTATCAGGGACAATTTTATTGTGACATGTCCACACATGACAGCCATAATTTTAACTTTAATCTATGCAAATTAATAAATGGCATTTATTCAAATTATTATCGGCATATCGCAAATTTGGGAAACATAGGGATATTGAAACTTACCAAGGTCTAGAATAATGAGTAAATTTGCCTGATGATCGCCACGCAGTGTGCGTGTGCGTGAAACCAATGGTAGCAAAATAGACTGAACCTATATGTTATATATAGATTCATATATATATATCATGTATATCATATTGCAGATAGTATATATATATTACAGCAAAATAAATGAATATAAATCATCTACAGATCTTTTCTGAAGTCAATGGGCATCTCAATAATAAATTAAGATCAACTCTCTGTGTTTAGTATTAAATATATTGTTGCAGCATCACTAAATATTCCATTATAAAGTAGCAAAAAAAGTGGTACTGGGTGTGGTTAAGAAACACATTAGAAAACTTCTTTCCACCACTCGGATTTCTTAAGACTTTTAATATGTTATAGAGGAGATTTTTCTGAGTAATAACCTTTTTAAATAGTTTCTGTTGCAATTTGTTTGAGGTTACCCCTTAATTTTTCACATAATGCCTGTACTATGAGTATGTGAACCTCCGCCGGAGTGTGTGTGGTTAAAATCACTTCCACATTTCTATGTTTTATATTGTCCCAGCCACATGGTAGCCATGCCCAGGTCATCTATCACTAGATCTTAGTATGGACCATGGTACATCCACCAGAGGGGTCAGTCTTGTGATCCCACTGGAGGGGTTGAAAATTGGCGGGAAATCCTAGTGTGCTTGTGCACATTTACATAGGCTTGTGTACAAATGCACTGTTCACATAGGGATTGCCTCGATCACCCCTGTGACCATAATGGAACTGTCAAATGGCATTGACGGGGTAAGTCTGTGGTTTTAATGGCTGTTTGGGGCCTGAGAGGTACCAGGGGGCGATTTTTTTTTTACACAACTATCTGGGGTACCCATTTTTCAGGCGATTTGAATCAAGGTTATAGGATTGTATCTTAAAAACGTTATTTTTCAGTCGGATACTACTTGTATAGCAGCAAATTCCTTTTTCTTTTCCTGATCTGAGGCTCTGGAGGATTTTTGAAAAAAAAGGAAATAAAGTCCGAAATCCGTGCTAAGTTGAAAAATAGTAGCCTCCACTCAAGCCTGGTTATACAAACCAAGCCCCATAGGA